GACCACAACCCAAGTCTTTAACCCCCACCCTCCAGTCTCCTGGACCACAACCCAAGTCTCTTACCCCCCACCCTCCAGTCTCCTGGACCAGAACCCAAGTCTTTAACCCCCCACCCTCCAGTCTCCTGGACCACAACCCAAGTCTTTAACCCCCGACTCCAGTCTCCTAGACCACAACCCTAACCTCTTATCCTACACCCTCCAGTCTCCTAGACCACAACCCAAGTCTTTAACCCCCACCATCCAGTCTCCTGGACCACAACCCAAGTCTTTAACCCCCCACCCTCCAGTCTCCTGGACCACAACCCAAGTCTTTAACCCCCCACCCTCCAGTCTCCTAGACCACAACCCAAGTCTCTTACCCCCCACCCTCCAGTCTCCTGGACCACAACCCAAGTCTTTAACCCCCGACCTCCAGTCTCCTAGACCACAACCCTAACCTCTTATCCTACACCCTCCAGTCTCCTAGACCACAACCCAAGTCTTTAACCCCCACCATCCAGTCTCCTGGACCACAACCCAAGTCTTTAACCCCCCACCCTCCAGTCTCCTAGACCACAACCCAAGTCTCTTACCCCCCACCCTCCAGTCTCCTGGACCACAACCCAAGTCTTTAACCCCCGACCTCCAGTCTCCTAGACCACAACCCTAACCTCTTATCCTACACCCTCCAGTCTCCTAGACCACAACCCAAGTCTTTAACCCCCACCATCCAGTCTCCTGGACCACAACCCAAGTCTTTAACCCCCCACCCTCCAGTCTCCTGGACCACAACCCAAGTCTTTAACCCCCACCCTCCAGTCTCTTGGACCACAACCCAAGTCTCTTACCCCCCACCCTCCAGTCTCCTGGACCACAACCCAAGTCTTTAACCCCCGACCTCCAGTCTCCTAGACCACAACCCTAACCTCTTATCCCCCAACCTCCAGTCTCCTGGACCACAACCCAAGTCTTTAACCCCCCACCCTCCAGTCTCCTAGACCACAACCCAAGTCTCTTACCCCCCACCCTCCAGTCTCCTGGACCACAACCCAAGTCTTTAACCCCCCACCCTCCAGTCTCCTAGACCACAACCCAAGTCTCTTACCCCCCACCCTCCAGTCTCCTGGACCACAACCCAAGTCTTTAACCCCCGACCTCCAGTCTCCTAGACCACAACCCTAACCTCTTATCCTACACCCTCCAGTCTCCTAGACCACAACCCAAGTCTTTAACCCCCACCATCCAGTCTCCTGGACCACAACCCAAGTCTTTAACCCCCCACCCTCCAGTCTCCTGGACCACAACCCAAGTCTTTAACCCCCACCCTCCAGTCTCCTGGACCACAACCCAAGTCTTTAACCCCCCACCCTCCAGTCTCCTGGACCACAACCCAAGTCTTTAACCCCCGACCTCCAGTCTCCTAGACCACAACCCTAACCTCTTATCCCCCACCCTCCAGTCTCCTGGACCACAACCCAAGTCTTTAACCCCCCACCCTCCAGTCTCCTAGACCACAACCCAAGTCTCTTACCCCCCACCCTCCAGTCTCCTGGACCACAACCCAAGTCTTTAACCCCCACCCTCCAGTCTCCTAGATCACAACCCGTCTCTTACCCCCCACCCTCCAGTCTCCTAGACCCTAAACCCAAGCCTCTTATCCCCCACCCTCCAGTCTCCTAGATCACAACCCGTCTCTTACCCCCCACCCTCCAGTCTCCTAGTCCACAACCCAAGTCTCTTACCCCCCACCCTCCAGTCTCCTAGACCACAACCCAAGTCTTTAACCCCCCACCCTCCAGTCTCCTAGACCACAACCAAGTCTCTAACCCTCCACCCTCCAGTCTTCTAGACCCTAAACCCAAGCCTCTTATCCCCCACCCTCCAGTCTCCTTGATCACAACCCGTCGCTTACCCCCCACCCTCCAGTCTCCTAGACCACAACCCCAGTCTCTTACCCTCCACCCCCCTACCTTCCAGTCTCCTGCTCCAGCCCAAGTCTCTTAATCCCCCACCTCCCAGTCTCCTATACCACAACCCAAGTCTCTCACCCTCCACACCCCCCCCCCTCCCCCCCCCACCCCACCCCCCTCCCCCCCCCCCCAACCCCCCAGTCTCCTGTTTCAGCCCAAGTCTCTTACCCCCAACCCTCCATCCCCAGCCTTCTTAGCTCCAGGTTCCTCAGCCCCAAGACCCCAGGTATCCCCAGTCCTAGAGAATCTCTCCCCTGAGCACCCTTCCCACCCTCTAGTCCTGCACCATCACTGTGGAATATATTTATTTTATGAAAAATTAATAATCTAGAAACGCATACAAAAGCAAGTCAAGCCAGCTCTAGCTTGCTCTATTCCATTCCTATGAAATCAGCAGGGATTTTTTTTTCATGGCTATTGTGTAATATAAGATTTCAGAGACTAAATGTTAGTCTACCCACCCTCCAGACTCCTCCCTCTCCATAGCCCAACCTTCCTAAGCTCCATTAGCCTGTCTCCTAGACTATAGAGAACAAATCAAATTTTAATCTACAACTCCATATTCCCTAGTCCATAGATCCCATGTATTCCCAGCCTCACAGATTCAGTCTCCCTCCTACACCCCCCACCCAACCCACCCCACCCCCACACACCACCACAACAACCCACACTAATCCCCCCATCCAAAGTCCCCAGATGAAACAGCCTGAAATGACAGAAGCATGTTTGTCCACCATACTCATCCTCCAATGCCACATACGTTACATCTACAAACCTCTTGTATTACCATGGTAACACACAATTCTGCTATCCTCATTAAATGAGAATTTTGTAATTATGTAACGGCTCTACTTTCGTCAAGACAAACAGATACAATTACAAACAACTGCCACTTTCCAACTATAACTGTAAAAGATAATAGAAATCTAAAAATGGTTGCATCTGTAATCAAGATAATGGGTTTCGTGTTTTTGTCTTGAATCTTGATGTACAAGAGAGCATTAGTGTTAATTTGGCATCTTTGAAACCCCTTAAAGGTGTAAATCAGATCTGTATTTTTCGATCACCTACAAGGGTCACATTTTGGACACATTTTTTTTCAAGTGAAATATCTTGTTCAAACACAACTGAATGTGAGTCATACTTATTCATCATTCACTGATGCACCATAATCCATGAGTGAGTGAGTTGGGTTTTATGCCACTTTTAGCTATATTACAGCAATAACACAGTGGGGAGCACCAGAAATTCGCTCCACACATCGTACCGATTTGGGGAATTGAACCCAGGCCTTTGGCATGACAAGAGAAAACCTTAATCACTCCTTTCCCCACAAATCATGAAATCCTACCTTTGCATACACTGATTTCCAACATCTCCACATAGTAATATGTTATTTTCCGACCAAGAGCATAAAAAATGTGCCGTGCTCTGCAATGATATATATCATTCTATTAACACAGAAAAAACACAGGTAGAAAATATACAGATGGTGACCAAATATTATGTTTTAATTGATGTTAGTCTAATAGAAACATTTGGCAACACTTGTCATGGTTATTGCACATGATGAAACACACACATTCAGAACATTTGCAACATTGAAGACCTCCTAACACAGACTGGTTCTTGGATGTGTCTGCCTTGCATCCCCTTTATGATGTATAAATATTCAGATTTACTTATTTCTGAATCTAATGGGGGGCACGGGTGGCCGAGTCGTCTAAGGCGCCGCAATTCACTGTGCAGAGTTGCGTCCCTTGGGCACGCCAGAAACCTATGATTGAGGGTTCAAATCCCAATTCACCCCGATTATGTTTCTAGGTTTGTCAGCACCATATCTGTGCTTGTGGGTTTCACAGAAATGGTAAACATCTGAGACCTGCATCACTTGGGGCTTTCCTCCCACATTAAGCTGACACACCACGATATAACTGGAATACCGGGGTACTGTTAAAAGCAGCATAAAACCAAACTCACTCACTCTGAATCTAATGTATCAATCTACAGTAAACTACGTTTACAACGAACATGCTTATAATGAACTGATGGAGAAAACAAACTGTTTTTGGGTCTTGTTTATTTACTGTGTATAGGCTGAATACATGCTTATAATGAACTGAGGTTATAACGAACGAAAATAAGTGGTCCCTTTCAGTTCGTTACAACCATAGTTTACTGTATTTCACTTTCTTTAGCCCAATAAATTCCATGAGGACAAGACGGCCTCCGTGGCCTAGTGGTAGAGCGTCTGCCCCGAGAGCGAAAGGTCTGAGGTTCGATCCCCGGTCGCGTCATACAAAAAGACGTTAAAAGATTGTACTTGTTGTTACCCTGTCTGGCGCTTGGCCTTAAGGGGCTAAAACAAGGACTGGTTGGCTCGGAGTCAGTATACTGTGTCTGAGTGGGGTATTCATGTTAAACTGCGGCATGGTATCTCAGTGAGCTAGCACTATAAATCGGCATCAGTCCGGACTAGTACAAGCAGCCACACACCCACATACATGTGCATGCACGTTACTATATAAGTGCAATAATCTTGGACGCGACGTTAAACCCCATTTCACCTCACCTCACCTCACCTCACCATGAGGATAAGAAATGAAATGCTTCAGTTCTGCATTTGTTGCTCCACAATTAACAATACAGGGAAAACCCGGAATTCTGATATTGAAGCTTAAAACAAGCGGACTGATGTTCCTGTGACTCTGCCATAGTTAAATCCGAATCTCAAACTGATCTGGCTCACTTAGTGTCAACACTACAGAAAGTGCCAACACCAAGCTGAGTGACCTAAAGAAATTGCAGCATTTCTGCCGAGGGTTTGATATACTTATGATGGGAGAAAAGTTAGCAGTAGCTCAAAGTAAAACACAATTTGTTATGTAGAGCTGGTCCCATAGGCATTACGGGCTTGTAGGCTAACACATTCCACACATTTATGAAATCAGCTTTTTAGAGATAATTTAGCCTTGACTCTACTTTGAGTATTGGGGGAGCTTGTGGCCCAGTCATTTAAGGTGCTGCAATTTGGTGTGAGCTCAACAAATGCATCGGCCTCCTAGACCCAACCCCCAGCCTGCTGGACCCACGTGCCACCACATCCCAGCCTCGGGACTCCAGCCACCCAACCTCCCAACCTTCTACACCCTTATCCCCAAGCCACCTAGACTCCACTTCAAACTTCTTAGACCCGACCCCAGGTTTCAAGACTATAACAATCTGCCTCTTACACCCCATCTCCAGCTTTCTACAACCCTATTCCCCTGCCTCTTAGACCAGATCCCAGGCTCAAAAGATCCTGACCTCGCCTTCTAGACCCTTAACCCCAGCCTCCTAGACACCTGACCCAACCTCTTAGGCCTGATCCCAGGCTCAAAAGATCCTGTCCTCACCTCCTAGACCCCAGTCTCCCAGCCTCCTAAACCCCACTCCCAGCCTCTTAGACCTGACCCCAGGCTCAAAAGATCCTGTCCTTTGCCTCCTAGACCCATCTCCCAGCCTCCTAGACCCCACTCCCAACCTCTTAGACCCGATCCAAGACTCAAAAGACCCTGACCTCACCTTTAAGACCCTTAACCCCAGCCTCCTAGACCCTACACCCAACCACTTAGACCCAATCCAAGGCTCAAAAGATCCTGACCTCGCCTTCTAGACCCTTAACCCCAGCCTCCTAGACCCCACACTCAGCCTCTTAGGCCCGACCCCAGGCTTAAAAGATCCTGTCCTTTGCCTCCTAGACCCGTCTCCCAGCCTCCTTAACCCCACTCCAAACCTCTTAGACCCGATCCAAGACTCAAAAGACCCTGACCTCACCTTTAAGACCCTTAACCCCAGCCTCCTAGACCCTACACCCAACCACTTAGACCCAATCCAAGGCTCAAAAGATCCTGACCTCGCCTTCTAGACCCTTAACCCCAGCCTCTTAGACCCCACACCCAGCCTCTTAGGCCCGACCCCAGGCTTAAAAGATCCTGTCCTTTGCCTCCTAGACCCGTCTCCCAGCCTCCTTAACCCCACTCCAAACCTCTTAGACCCGATCCAAGGCTCAAAAGATCCTGACCTCGCCTTCTAGACCCTCAACCCCAGCCTCCTAAACCTCACACACAACCTCTTAGACCCAATCCAAGGCTCAAAAGATCCTGACCTCGCCTTCTAGACCCTTAACCCCAGCCTCCTAGACCCTACACCCAACCACTTAGACCCAATCCAAGGCTCAAAAGATCCTGACCTCGCCTTCTAGACCCTTAACCCCAGCCTCCTAGACCCCACACTCAGCCTCTTAGGCCCGACCCCAGGCTTAAAAGATCCTGTCCTTTGCCTCCTAGACCCGTCTCCCAGCCTCCTTAACCCCACTCCAAACCTCTTAGACCCGATCCAAGACTCAAAAGACCCTGACCTCACCTTTAAGACCCTTAACCCCAGCCTCCTAGACCCTACACCCAACCACTTAGACCCAATCCAAGGCTCAAAAGATCCTGACCTCGCCTTCTAGACCCTTAACCCCAGCCTCCTAGACCCCACACCCAGCCTCTTAGGCCCGACCCCAGGCTTAAAAGATCCTGTCCTTTGCCTCCTAGACCCGTCTCCCAGCCTCCTTAACCCCGCTCCAAACCTCTTAGACCCGATCCAAGGCTCAAAAGATCCTGACCTCGCCTTCTAGACCCTCAACCCCAGCCTCCTAAACCTCACACAAAACCTCTTAGACCCAATCCAAGGCTCAAAAGACCCTGACCTCGCCTTCTAGACCCTTAACCCCAGCCTCCTAGACCCTACACCCAACCACTTAGACCCAATCCAAGGCTCAAAAGATCCTGACCTCGCCTTCTAGACCCTCAACCCCAGCCTCCTAAACCTCACACAAAACCTCTTAGACCCAATCCAAGGCTCAAAAGACCCTGACCTCGCCTTCTAGACCCTTAACCCCAGCCTCCTAGACCCCACACTCAGCCTCTTAGACCCGACCCTGGGCTCAAAGACCCTGACATCAGCCTCTTAGAACCCATCCCAAGCCTCCTAAACCCTGACTCCTAGCTTCCTAGACACCCACCCTTTTCCTTCTTAATCACACCCTACAACTTTTAATTATTACTTATTTAACTAATTTCACACAAAGAAACATCTGTATATATACCATATATTGATCAAACCGTCTATGGAGTGAAGTTTTCTGTTCTTATGCTCTGAGTGTAAAAATACAGACAGAAGAATACATCAGGGTTCTGCTGCTAAAGCTGCAATGTTTCCATAATGGACTTGTCACATTCAGGAACCACAATAATGGATGTCACAGTTTTTCTCAGAATCTGACAAAATTCCATTAAAATCAGACCCAAATATTATAATGGCTGATAAAACAGAACAGTGGCAAGGAAAGTAGGCGTTGAATGTGATAATTCTCATTGGTAAATTATGAGTTCTTGACAAAAGGTTTGATAAAAACATTGTCAATTGAGTCATACGTTTTTGGCACAACCCCTGACAATCTTATTAAGAATGATTTGACATTTAGATGTCTATCTATGGAATGTGAATTGTGGCATTAGGTTCTGGTATTGAATGACATCTTGGTCGCCATACAAAAGAAAGAGAATAGTTTTGATAACGCATGCAAAATGAGGAGATACGGGGTTTAACATTTCTTGAAGATTATTGCTGTTATGTATATATCTGGTTTATATCTGGCCATCCTGTCTATGAAAAAGATGGCTTATGCAACACAGAGAAGACCACTTGCAAGTATCATGATATGTATCGCATCATGACGTTTGCTGTATTGTCCCAGACCTAATGCTGATCACCAGGCAGGGTAAAAACAAGTACCATTGAGTGCATTGTGTTTGGGGTAGTTGGGCAGGGCAATTTCTGGCACATCATGGTGTGGTGTGGTGTGGTGTGGTGTGGTGTGGTGTACATGTGGTGTGGTGTGGTGTGGTGTGGTGTGGTGTGGTGTGGTGTGGTGCGGTGTGGTGTGGTGTGGTGTATATGTGGTGTGGTGTGGTGTGGTGTGGTGTGGTGTGGTGTGGTGTGCATGTGGTGTGGTGTGGTGTGGTGTGGTGTGGTGTGGTGTGGTGTGGTGTGGTGTGGTGTGGTGTGGTGTGGTGTGGTGTGGTGTGGTGTACATGTGGTGTGGTGTGGTGTGGTGCGGTGTGGTGTGGTGTGGTGTACATGTGGTGTGGTGTGGTGTGGTGTGGTGTGGTGTGGTGTGGTGTGGTGTGGTGTGGTGTGGTGTACATGTGGTGCGGTGCGGTGCGGTGCGGTGCGGTGTGGTGTGGTGTACATGTGGTGTGGTGTGGTGTGGTGTGGTGTGGTGTGGTGTGGTGTGGTGTGGTGTGGTGTACATGTGGTGTGGTGTGGTGTGGTGTGGTGTGGTGTACATGTGGTGTGGTGTGGTGTGGTGCGGTGTGCATGTGGTGTGGTGTGGTGTGGTGTGGTGTGGTGTGGTGTACATGTGATGTGGTGTGGTGTGGTGTGGTGTGGTGTGGTGTGGTGTACATGTGGTGTGGTGTGGTGTGGTGTGGTGTGGTGTGGTGTGGTGTGGTGTGGTGTGGTGTGGTGTGGTGTGGTGTGGTGTACATGTGGTGTGGTGTGGTGTGGTGTTGTGTACATGTGGTGCGGTGTGGTGCGGTGCGGTGCAGTGCAGTGCGGTGCGGTGCGGTGCGGTGCGGTGTGGTGTGGTGTGGTGTGGTGTGGTGTGGTGTGGTGTGGTGTGGTGTGGTGTGTCACATGGCATGGCATGGAATGTTTTGTCATGGAGTAATTTGACTTTTTTAACTTGACAGGCATGTGGTGAAAGGTACCAAAGTTAAACAAAGAGTATGGTTTCAAATGAAACTTACACCTTTTCAAAATTTCAGCATACTCTTTTAAACTTAAATTATTTTTTCACATTTCAAACAGGTCAATAATTAATTTATCGGATTTATTCCTTCTAATATGAGCACCAAATTTCAATAAATTAAGTCAAAAATGCAATATCCTTCTTCACAGATGCTTTCAATTTAAAAAAATGCTATTGCAGACATCAGATTTAAATAAGATTTAATCTTTTGATTGAAAACACTTCATATAACTACAAATTAGATCATTACTGTATTATGAGTTCCTCCTGAGGTTTCTATTTTAGAACGCAAGGACAGGTTTACTGCCGGTATTGATAAAGACAGGACAAATATGAAGCAATTTGGGGATGATATGCCAGAATAAATTCACGGGGTCGGGGAGACTCAAACAAACACGAAGTGTAAACCAATCAGGCAATGAGGGATTAGGGGTTTGGAAGGTGAATGTCAATCGAAGAAAATCGCGTAGATCAAACATGTGGAGACGTGCTGATTCTGTGTGGTCAAACATTGCCGCTTGCCGCCCTTGCGTTTGGACTGTCACAGATATTTACAGAGGGAACGTGGAAATTGTGCGCAATGGTGATTTTTTCATTGTAGGAACAAAACTTTGTTTTGAGAATTGAATTTTCAAAATTTGTTGCAAAGATATTAATATTCTGAACCAAACCTGTATTTTTTGGATACAAAAATTTAAGATCAAATTTGAAAAACAAAACTTCAATATTGGAATGTTTTTAATTCTATTTGAGAACCTGACAATCTTGTATGAAGTATTTGAGAACTGAATCATGGATGTGGAGAAATATTGAGTTTTTGTATTTCAGGTTTTATCTGGGAAAGGTCATGTGTACCCGGACAGGTGATGTGCCCACAAAGTATTCCAACAAGCAACAGCCTTTCTTCATGTTCAACAGAGTTTTTACTAAAAAATAATTTTTTTGTAGACTAATATGCTAAGTTTCAAACACTGGTGCATTTCTGCAAACTCTGCTGTTATGTCATCTATTCAACAGCAAATAATCTCCCCTATTAAATTATCTTGGATAGGTGGAATTCATTTATTCTTATGGTCAGATTAAGGTAATAACATCTAAATGTGGTCATCTGAGTAGTATAATTTGTATGATTGATAGATTCCATGCAGTATTATTAAACCATGAGGGGCAGTGGGGTAGCCCAGTGGCTAAAGAATTCGCTTGTCATCTAAAGGTCCAGGTTTGATTCCCCACATGTACAATGTGAGAAGCCTATTACTGGTGTCTCTCCATGTGACATGAGTAGAATATAGCTTAATACAGAGTAACCTCCAAATCAATATCTTGCAAATATTCATCTGTCAAATTACATATTAGTTGTTTGTTTGTTGAAACATTTGAAGATCTGTGTTATTTGTTTGTTTGTTTGTTGTTTAATGACGCACTCGGCAATATTCCACATAAATGACGCCGGTCTGTAAAATAATCGAGTCTGGACCAGACAATCCAGGGACTGACATCATGAGCATCGATCTATGCAATTGGGATCGATGACATGTATCAACCAAGTCAGCGAGCCTGGCCACCCGATCCCGTTAGTCACCTTTTACGACAAGCATAGTCGCCTTTTACGGCAAGTATGGGTTGCTGAAGACCTATTCTACCCCGGAATCTTCACGGGTCAGAGATCTGTGTTAACAGCCTATTACTGTCAGTAGGTTAAATCTGCAGGACATACAAATGCTGTGACTGTAGATAAAATTTAATAAAGAAACATCTAAGCCATGAAATCGTCCTGCCAACCTGCAGATATGAACGTAATTACTCCAGTATCT